CACGGTCCTGATCTGGCAAGATGGACAGAGCAGGAGTTTGGAGGCAGAAAGACACATGTTGGAATTCCAGCTCCACATTTACAAGCTATGATCCTTTGGGCAAGCCATCTAGCCTCTCTGAGAACTGGTTTTCACATCTGTAAATTGGGTGATAATAAGACCTATCTTTCCTACTAGGGTAGGAAAGATTAGATGAGATAGTATAGGTAAAATTTTAAACAGCTAGTCTGGCACATAATAGGGCCTTCCCTTTCACAGCAACAGAGATAAGGAAAGGACAGAGGGTGGAGGTAGAGTAGGCTCTGTCACTTACTCATCAGGTGACTTTGAGTTTCAGTTCTCTCATGGATAAAATGGAAGTAGTAATAAAATCTATTCCCTGCCCAGTTATTGTGAAGAGCAAATGAGGTGATCCATTTAGAGCTCGTTCATTCCTTTTAACTACTGTATCATATTTCATTATTACATTAAACCACAGTTTATTTATGCATTCATCTACTGATGGACATTTAGTTTGTTTCTATTATGACAGGTTATCATGATATCTATCTTTTTTTTTTTTTTTCCGAGACAGAGTCTCACTCTGTTGCTGGACTAGAGTGCCATGGCGTCAGCCTAGCTCACGCAACTCAAACTCCTGGGTTAAGCGATCCTTCTGCCTCGCCTCCCAAGTACCTGGGATTACAGGCATGTGCCACCATGCCGGCTATTTTATATATATTTTAGTTGTTCAGCTAATTTCTTTCTATTTTAGTAGAGACGCAGTCTTGCCTTTGTCAGTGTCTCGAACTCTGACGAATCCTCCACTCGGTCCCAGAGTGCTAGGATTACAGGCGTGAGCCACCGCGCCCGGCCGATATATCATTCTTAAATTCCATTCTCCTGATTATTAGTAAAGTTGAGCATCTTTTCATGTGTACTAGGTATTTGTATTTCTTTTTTACGGATTACATTTCTCTCTTTCTCTCTCTGTCCCTCTGTTTTTTAATGGAGAGTCTTGCTCTGTCACCCAGGCTGCAGTGCAATGATGCAATAATAGCTCACTGCAACCTCAAATTCCTGGGCTCAAGTGATCTTTCCACCTCAGCCTCCCAAGTAGCTGGGACTATAATAGGTGCGAGCCACCACACCCAGCTTATTTTTGTATTTATATATATATGTATATATATATTTTTTTGTACAGATGGAATCTTGCTATGTTGCCCAGGCTGGTCTCAAACTCCTGGTCTCAAGAGATCATCCCACCTCAGCCATATTTTTATCATTTTTTAAAAGGTGTATTTATACATTATGGATATTAATCAATCCTGTCTTATTTCATATACAGGTGATTCTCATTATTCACAGAATTATTCACATTATTATTATTATTCTATAAAGTCACCACACACACTGAACTAGCAAATACTAAATCATTGCTCTGGCCAGGCGCTGTGGCTCACGCCTGTAATCCTAGCACTCTGGGAGGCCGAGACGGGAGGATCACTCAAGGTCAGGAATTCGAAACCAGCCTGAGCAAGAGCAAAACCCCATCTCTACTGAAAATAGTAAGAAATTAATTGACCAACTAAAAATATATATACAAAGAAAAAAAAAAGAATTAAACTAAATCATTGCTCCTAGGTAAAATACAAGGTTAGGTTCCTGTAAGCCTCTGGTCACAACATTTTTGTCAACCAATCACTATGTAACTTTGTTTTTTGTGTGTTTCAGTTTAAAGGCCCTTTATTTAATACATATTATTGATTCACTAACATTGCACTCATGGCCAACAGCACTGCAACTTACACCTGACCAAAGTTTATCTGACATGCACATTTTCTCTGCAAGGCCTTCATGTGCTTAGGAACACTAAGACAGCACTTCAGCACTATGCTTGGAGGCCATTTTAAATAGCGAAATCACCAACAAAAAACACAAAAAATGCAAACACTGTGGCACTAAATAGACTGTGAAAAGGACACTTGCTTACAGTATGAGAGCTGAAACAAGGAGGCAGAACAGGTGCAACTCAAATTTTTGGCCTCTCTGTGCATCCTCATATTTGCAAATGACGTTGGAAGTGCCTTGAGTATTGATTTTGAGGGTATAAATAAATTTAGTAAGTAGACACACCTGCAAATATGGAATCCTGGAATTATGAGAATTGACACTGCATGTATGTTGATATTTAATATAACACAGCATCTTTGCAGTCTTTCACTTGTTTTTTAACTTTGTATATGGTGCCTTTTATATTATTTGTATTTAATGTAGGCAAATTTGCCAATTTTTTCCTTTATGTTTTTTAAAAATAGATGTTTTATTCAAATTCCTATATTTTAATTAGTCTATTTCTGGACTCTTTCTATTCTAGGTTTTTCTAACCTTATTTTTATTTATTTTTTTCAGTTTTTCAACATGGTTTAAGGTTTTTCAACCTTAGTACTTTATTTTCTATTCTAGGGTTTCTCAACCTGGTTGACTACTGACATTTTGGGCCAGACAATTCTTTTTTTTTTTTTTTGAGATAGGCGTCTACTTTTGTTTCCCAACGCTGCTGAGTGACCCGCGCTACCGGTGTCACGCTAGCTCACAAGCAACCTCCAACTCTTGCGCGTCGAGCACATCCTACCTGCCTCCACAGCCTCCTGAGTCGCATGGGCCTCGCTAGCATGCGCCCACCCATGCGGCCTAATTTTTTCTATCATCAACTCAATTCAGCTTGGCCCCAACATCTAATGTTCTACCTTCAACTATTGTACTCAGTGAGAGATGGGGTCTCGCTCTTGCTCAGGCTGATTTCGAACTCCTGACCTCGAGCAATCCACCCGCTTCGGCCTCCCAGAGTGCTAGGATTACAGGCGTGAGCCACCTCGCCCGGCCTTGGGCCAGACAATTCTTTGATTTGGGGTGCTGTCCTCTGTTTTGTAGGATGTTTAATAGCATCCCTGGCTGATATCTATTGGTAGAAGCACTTCCAACGTCATTTGCAAATATGAGGATTCACAGAGAGGCCAAAAATTTGAGTTGCACCTGTTCTTGGCTCATACTGAACAAGGTGACACTCTGCCTCCTTGTTTCAGCTCTCATACTGTAAGCAAGTGTCCTTTTCACATTCTATTTAGTGCCACAGTGTTTGCGTTTTTTGTGTTTTTTGTTGGTGATTTCACTATTTAAAATGGCCTCCAAGCATAGTGCTGAAGTGCTGTCTTAGTGTTCCTAAGAAGTTGTTGCTTGTTGCATTTTTAAATTAGAAAATTAATCTTTTACAAATGATAGCATCCAGCCCTCTCTTTCTCTGAGACTTAGCTCCTTTTGCCCCTTCTGTTTCCCTGATGTTTACCACGCTTGCTTCTCCTGCTTAGCTGAAACTCCTCCCTTATCCTGCCTGGCCTTATTCCAAATGGTGGCCCAGCATGAATGACCTCGTTGCTGTATAGGGCTCATTCACTCAGTCCTGCCCACATACCTCTACCTTTATTTACCCTATGCTGGGGTACTTTACCTCCTCTATTTGGCCTGATCAACTTCCTCACTAATTCAACACTAATTCGAGTCTCCTCCCATTTTTTAAACCTTCTTTACATTTGATGTCAAACAATTTTGTGCATAATTATATACTTGTACAGACCCAGCATGATGGGCAGAAGAGAGTATGACTTGAGGCAGACAGACAAGAGCTGAATTTCAGCCTGCCATTTTTATCAGTTATGACACCTTGCACAAGTTACCAAACCTCTCTGAGCCCTGATTTTCTCATCTGTAATTGGAGATAATAATATCCATTTTGAGTGTTGTCTACCAAACTATACTGAAAGATTTTTTTGCCAATAGAGGCTTGTATCTTTCACAGTACCTTGCAGGAGGCTGTAAAAATGTGTGTAATAAAAGACTTTTAAAAAACCAACACTTTTTTTTTGGCTGTTAGAAACTCTCTCAATGGCATATGCTAATGACGGAATGAGTAGACTAGAACAACAGATTATTGGAAAAAAAAGTAACAAAACAACTAGCCAGGTGCAGTGGCTTATGCCTGTAATCCTAGCACTTTGGGAGGCCAAGGTGGGAGGATTGCTTGAGGCCAGGAGTTTGAGACCAGTCTGGGCGACATAGTGAGACCCTGTCTCTACAAAAAATAGAAAAATTAGCCAAACATGGTGGCATATGCCTGTAGCCCCAGCTACGTGGGAGGCCAAGGTAGGAAGATCACTTGAACCCAGGTGTTTGTGGTTGCAGTGAGCTATGATGATGCCATCACACTCTAGCCTGGGCAACTGAATGAGACCCCGTCCCCACTCTCCCCTCCTCCAAAAAACCCTAGCTGTGTTTGGTTTCTGAATAAATTGTGAGTTTGGGTAGCAGAAGTTTTTGTTTTGTTTTGTTTTTTGAGACAGAGTCTCACTCTGTTGCCCGGGCTAGAGTGCCATGGCGTCAGCCTAGCTCACAGCAACCTCAAACTCCCAGGCTCAAGTGATCTTCCTGCCTCACGGTCCTAACTAGCTGGGACTACAGGTGCTTGCCACCAGACCCAACTAATTTTTTCTATTTTTAGTAGAGACGGGGTCTCACTCTTGCTCACATTAGTCTCAGACTCCTGACCTCAAGCAATCCTCCCGCTTTGGCCTCCCAGAATACTAGGGTTACAGGCATGAGCCACCGCGCCTGGCCCAGAAATTTTTTTTATTAATTCTATTTTGTTTGAGGTAATAATAAAATCAGTTTGCATTCCCTGAAGCTAGAATTAAAACATTATTTTAGAAAATCCACAACATGGATTCATCCTTGTGTGACAAATGAAGTGCTGACGATATTAAATCACTCTGATAAACACTGAGCACATGAAGGGTTTGGGATGGAAATGTTCAGATCATGAACCTCCTGAGAATGTGCTGCTGCTTTTGAATATTCCAGGAACACTCACAAGGCAAATGTTCCAAACAGCATTTGCAAATTTCTCCCCTCTGAGAAGGTGCTAGCCTGCTGCTGCATACAAGGAAATCATGTGGCCTCTTTCTTACCTGTTGTCTGTAAGCTTAAGCCTGGGTCCAACTTTGTGTGGGGCTTTGAGCTGAGGAACAGGTAACAAAGTACACAGGCGGTGACAATGAAGGCTAGAAGGACCACGGCTGCTATGGACAGGCCCACAAGAGCGCCAACACTGGGGAGAGAAGACCACACAGGAGTGAAGTGTCAGGAAGGGACTTGAGAGGCATATGTCATGGAAGTGTCGTAGGTGTTGCAGGAATCAGCTTCGGCTTTTGTGCCATCCCTACCTGTCTTAAACAGGCTTTCTGTGCCTAAGCATGTAAAAGTGCATCAACTACATGCTAAGTACTCGCCATACATTTAACATGGCACGGCTTAGTGCCACCACGTAGTTGGGACTCAGTATGTGTTCACTTTCTTCTCCTCTCCCTCCCTCCATGCTTTCTGCAACCTGTTCCCAGCCTAGGGAGCTAGAGATGGTCTTAAAGACCCCCACCCCCACCGTGCTGTTTCTTAAAAACCAAGACACATAGTAGGCCTTAGTGAAAAACCAGCTGTCCTTCCAGCCTTGAGTTATTTCTGACCCCACCTCCACATTCCTTCTGACCATGACAGTGTCCACCCCATGTCTAAAATACCACGCCACTGCTGGTCCCTCACTTTGCAACCTCACTGCCTCTGCCCCCAATCAGGCTTTGGTCAGCTGGTCTGAAGGAAAACAGTTTCTTTCTACCTCACACACACCAGTCCACACACTTCTGACACTAGGCATGTGGGGTTTTTTCCACATACACCAAGCAATTCTCTAGCAGATACCAGAAGGATGTCCCATAATTTAACTCAATTCTGACACTGTCTACTTGGAGATAGTGTCAGATCCCACAGGTCGAGGGTTCAGTCCCACAAGACTGCCCCCTACTGCTGCAGTCCCCAACCCCCAGGCTGTGGCCGGACACCAGTCCATGGCCTGGAAGGAAACGGGCATCACACCCACCCCATGGAGCTCCACACCCCACCCCACCCCACCCCCACCTCCTGGTCTATGGAAAAATAGTCTTCCAAAACACCAGTCCCTGGTGCCAAAAAGCCTGGGGACAGATGCCTTACTTCAGATGCCAATCGCAATACTTCTGACCCATCTGTTATGAAAGGATGTGCCCATGACCCCTTCCTTGGGTTTGATTGATTTGCCATTACAGCTCACAGAACTCAGGGAAACACTTATGTTTACTGGTTTATTATAAAAGGATATTACAAAGGATACAGATAAATGGCCAGATGGGAGAGATACATAGAGAAAGGAATGGGGGAAGGGCACAGAGCTTTTGCATCCTCTCAAAGCACATAACCCTCCAGGGACCCCCGCATGTTCAGCAATCCGGAAGCTCTCCAAACTCTGTCCCTTTGGAGCTTTATGGAGACTTCATTACATAGGCACGATTGATTACATCATTGGCCACTGGTGATCAATTCAACCTTCAGCCTCTCTCCCCTCCCCAGAGCTTGGGAGGTGGGGATGTGAGTTCCAACCCAGTAATCACATGGTTTGTTCCCCTGGCAACCAGCCCCCATCCTGAGGCTCTCCAGGAGCCCACCGTGAGTCACCTCATTAGAACAAAAGAGGTTCCTTTCTCCCAGCAAATTACAAGGAATTTAGGAGCTCTGCTCAGGAACCAGGGGTCAAAGAAAAAATACTAGAACAAAAGATTCTCTTAGCACCCCTATCTATCAGAGTGTTAGGAACACTGACTCAGGAACTGGGGGCAGAGACCAAATATATAGTTCTTATTATAACACAGTATCATATCTGATTTCCAGAAAACTGCCTCCTGGCTCATTTGAGGGCCACTGTCTTTTCTATTTCACACGATCCCTCCCCATGATCTCCCCTTATTGGAACTTTACCTGTCCTTGAAGGCCCATCTCAAATATCCTGTCTTCAGTAATGCTTTCCTTGGTCATCTTTCTCTCCCCTCCCTTCCCCCCATGGCAGGCTAACCTGCCCAGGGCACTTTACTCAGGGCCATTAGCACTTCCCACTTGGTCAGGCAGCCAGGTGTGCTAGGGAAAGAGCAAAGGGCTTTGGAACCAAACCAACCTAGCTTAGGACTCAACTCTGAAACTGACTCACTATGAGATGTTGATGAATTTACTTAACTTTTTGTGTCTCAGCTTCCTTGCCTGAAAAATTAAAATGATCAAAACATGGCACCTTGTAGGTGGTGGTGAGGATGAATGACACTGACATGTTCTTGGTGCATATTCCTCATGTGTCCCCTGAAGGCAGTCAGACCATGTTTAATCAGCTTTATCCTCCCCTAATACAGGGCCTAGCATATTGTAGGGAGTTGGTAAATATTATTGAGTACCTACTATGTGTCGGGCACCATGGGATGCTCTCCCAATAGGAAGGGGTTGGTCTATACCAGGCTTTGTGTCTCTGCCTACCACTCCTTCTCCAGCCTTCCTGCCTATCCACTTCCCTGACACCACCCCCAGATTCCTGGCCTTGCTACTTCTGCAGGACTCTGCTCCCAGCAAGCTGGTGGCCACTAAACAAAAGCAGTTTGGAGCTTTGAACAGCCTGCCTTCCCATTGCTAAAAAAATTACTGGACACTCCTGCAATGGAATAGTATAGAGTATATAAAGAGTTTATTAATTATTAGTTTACTAACATTCTACACTGGCTGGCTGAGTTTAGGCTTCAGTTACCCTTGGTGTGACTTGCTTGGTAACACCCATGTTGGCTTCTTCCCTTCTCGGTCTCACTTCCTCACCCACTACCGCTGTCTTCAGGGGTCACTTTCCATATAAACTACTTGCCATCAAATCCTTGTCTCAGACTTTTCCAGGGAACCCAAACTAAGACACTAGATTACCTATGATTTCTTCCCCTTTGTATTTCACCTGTCCATTTCACATTTTCCACATTGAGTATGTAGTATCTTTTAGTTCTTGTAATTACTTTAATCAAACATTGTTTTCTCAATTGAGATAAACTTACTGTTATCTGGGAGACTTGTGCTTAGATTGGGACCCCATGCTGTATGAGGGACATCTGTGGGCACCTGGATGGAAAAGGGTCTCTAAAGGCGCCCTTTGAGGAGTGAGTGAGAGAGCTGGGGGGATATGTCCCAGATTGGAGGTCAGTCAAGGAGCAGGCACCGTCTCTGCTGATCTGTCTGGGGACAGAGCTGGAAACAACAGGGTAGGCTTCAAGGAAGGAAAATCTGTGCTTAGCATAAGATGAACTTTAAATGATCAGAGTTGACTCATGGTGAATGTACTGCTTCAAGGACATGGTGAGTTCCCCATAGTGGGAGAAGTTTGTGCAGCATACATGGATGAGTACACTTTTCTGCAAAAATAGAGATTCCTACCCTGGCTGGGAAATTTGATTAGAGAGCCTCTTTTCTTCTAGGATTTCACTGTTCTGACTGAAAGATAAAATACCCACTATGACCCCTAAGAAAGAATTGGAGGGACAGCCTAATAAACAAGGGGTTGGGAGTCAGGTAGTTCTAAGTTCAAATCCTGGTTCTGCCACATTTAAGCTAAAAAATTTACCTTACCTCTCTGATCTTCATTTTCTTCATTTGTAAAGGTTCCTATCTCATCGGGTGGCCATAAGGATGAAATAGGACGGTATGTTCAATGCCTGACCACCAACTCTGCCCTCCAGCAAAGCTCACATCCTGGTAAAAAACAGAACTAGTGACTGAGGGTGTTTGGCACGTGGACCAGAAGGTGTGAGAGCACCAGCTGCTTCTCCATAGGTGTCTTCACTTCCTGAGACACAGTTTTAAAGACTGCAATTCTTCTTGAGCACTGCCTCTCCAAGAAAACAGTGCTTACCTGGAGATTTTTATGTTTGTAAGAACTAATTTTCACGAAAAGAGTCAAATGGAATTCAGACCCAAACAGGTCTCCACCCTGCAATGCTGGGGCTCTGTTAGGAGTATGCTGGGTGAGTTGTTTCACAGTTCACAGCAGGCTGATCACCTAGACATCCTGAGGACCCTCGGTTCCCCTCTGCCACCTTGCAATTATCTCTGATGTTTATGAACCATGTTATGTCCAAGCCCAGGAAATTATCCTAGAACCTCTCAGCTGCTCTTGGGGTCACAGAATGGAGCATGACAACATGAGATGTGACCTCAGAGATCACCCTACCTAATCCTTCAGTAAAGCATTATCTGAGCCACTAAAGCACTCCACATCAGAGGGTTTCCAGGGCAACAGAAGGGACCACAGGCGTGTATAGGGAAAGCAGGGGAGTAGTGGAAGAGGAAAGGGGTCCTGGCTGGGTGCTGAGGGGATTACTCATCTCTGTGTCCCCAAGGGCCATCATAGTGCCCAGAAGACAGTAGAGGGTTAGTGAATGTTTTTCAAATGATCTTAGTAGATCAGGTTATAAGAGAATCAGGCTAGGCCGGGCCTGGTGGCTCACACCTATAATCCTAGCACTCCGGGAGGCAGAAGTGGGTGGATCGTTTGAGCTCAGGAGTTTGAGACCAGCTTAAGCAAGAGTGAGACCTCATCTCTACTAAAAAATAGAAAACAATTAGCCAGGCCTGGTGGCACATGCCTGTAGCCCCAGCTACTTGGGAGACTGAGGCAGGAGGATCGCCTGAGCCCAGGAGTTTGAGGTTGCTGTGAGCTAGACTGATGCCATGGCACTTTAGCTGAGGCAACAGAGTGAGACTCTGCTTCACAAAAAAAAAAAAAAAAAAAAAGAGAGCCAGGCTAGATTTAGACAGTCACAGAGTAGGATATGCCCAGGCTTGGGGCCAGACAGGCCTGAGTTTTCATCCCAGCTCTGCTACTTCCTCTCACTGGGTCATTCCCAGAAAGTAACTTAACCTCTCTCAGGTTTTCTCATCTATAAAATGAAGACGTGCCAGGGTTGTGAATGTGTGAAAGTATATAACCCTTACATGGTCCTAAGTAAAGCTCTTTAAATCTCACTCTGCTATGATATGGCTAGATCTTGGACAATTCACTTTTATACTCTGAACTTCACTTCTCACACCTATGAACCAAGAAAAAAATTTTATTGAGCACCTACTATTTGCACGGTCACTTTCATGTGTATTATTTCACTTATTCCTTATAACAATTCTATGAGACAGGTATTACTATTGTCATATTAAAGTTGAGAAAAGAGACTAGGAGATTAAGTAAGTTTTTTAATCCACATGGATAATAAGTGACAGAACTAACATTTGGACCAGGTTCTGATGAGCCCCAAAGGTCCACACTGTCTCTGTACTTCAAAGGGAGGACAGTGCCACCTTATTTCAGTGCTAACTACTCAGTGAGCCTTCAACAAATACTCCATTGTTTTACTTTAGGTGTATATTGTATCTCTCTATTTTTTTTTTGAGACAGAATTTCACTCTGTTGTCCAGGCTAGAGTAAGTGCTGTGGCATCAGCCTAGCTCTCAGCAACCTCAAACTCCTGGCCTCAAGCAATCCTGCTGCCTCAGCCTCCCAAATAGCTGGGACTACAGGCATGTGCCACCATGCCTGGCTGATTTTTTTCTATATATATTAGTTGGCCTATTAATTTCTTTATTTATAGTAGAGACAGGGTCTCGCTCTTGCTCAAGCTGGTTTCCAACTCCCGACCTCGAGCAATCCACCCGCCTCAGCCTCCCAGAGTGCTAGGATTATAGGCATGAGCCACCATGCCGGCCCTCTTTTTTTTTTTTTTTTTTGAGACAGAGTCTCACTCTATTGCCCAAGCTAGAGTGCCTTGGCGTTAGTCTAGCTCACAGCAACCTCAGACTCACTCAAGTGATCCTCCTGCCTCAGCCTCCTGAGTAGCTGGGACTGACTACAGGCATGTACCACTATGCTTGGCTAATTTTTCTATTTTTAGTAGAGACAGGGTTTCACTTCTCCTCAGGCTGATCTTGAACTCCTGAGCTCAAGCAATTCTACTGCCTCGGCCTCCCAGAGTGCTAGGATCACAGGCATGAGCCAGTGTGCCTGGCCTATGCTGTATCTTTCTAAATGGACTGTGAGCTCCTTAAGTGCAGAGAATACTTGATTTTTGTGTCCCAGTGCCTTGCAAAGTGCCTGGCACAAAGCAAAAGCTATAATGAATGAATACATGGATGAAAAGAAACTAAGTTAATATGATTCCCTAGGTTATAGATAGCAGCCAAATGTGCAGGATCTGATAACCTGGCCATCTGAAAATCTTTTGGAATTATAGATTGAGCAGCCTAGAAAAAGCAATAATATTTATAATTATTATTGACATATATTAAGTTGATTTCACCTCTGTCATCTCATTTGGTCCTTGCCATTGTCTTAGAAACCAGGGTAATGACTCATCATCCTCCCCATTTGACAGGTGAAAAAACAGAGGTTCAGAGAGATTTTAGTGACATACAATGCTGTCCTTTCCCACACAGAGGCCATGCAGCCTCTGCTCATATACCTCAGGAGACAGCAAAATTACTACTCAGATGGCCTTCTCCATTTACGCAGATGCCTGTTTCCCAGAGCAGGCTAAGGATCAGATCCCGTACTCTGGGTGAAGCCTTTGGAGATCCAGAGGTATTCAAATCTAGTGCCCTCTCAACCCAACACTTAGGTTCCAGGAATGTCAGAGCTTGCCTAACTAACCCCGTCCCCAAACAAATGGGGAAACTGAGGTCTTATGGGTGGAGATTCACCCAAACTACACTTCTATTAATATTGCCCAAGCTGGCTTCTGCTGTGGTATTATGCCATTATCTCATGATGAACCTGGAGGCAGCTCTGACTTCCAGATGTTCTGCCTTAGCTTGGGGGTGGGCTACATCCCCAGCATTCACCACAGGACTTGGCAGACACTAAGTGCTTAGTAGAGAGTGGCTGAAAGAATGACTAAATATGAAAGGGAAAGAAAGGGTTGAGTTTGGGCTGGGGATGGGGTGCAGCACCAGCTGAGGATTAAGGTTTGTGTTTGAGGTTTGCATGTAGGTCTAGAAGAGCTGCAGTCAGGATATGGGAGCAGAGCTGCGGTGGGATTGCAGGCAGGAATGAGGAGGAGGCTGGGATTGGTGATAGAATAAGGACTGGAATCAGTATTGCTTGGGGAGTGGGGAAGTCAGGGACGAGGACATTATCAATGGTGGGAAGGGGACCCTGGTGGGCGCTTGGCTGAGGACTGGGGTGGAGAATGTTTGAAGATGGATGTTTGCTCTTGGAGGAGGCTTGGTGTATGTGATTTGGGGTTAGGTTGAAAGTGGTGGTGGAATGAAGTTTGGAGCGGGGATACAGTGAGGGTTGTTTTGGGGTAGAGGGTGGTGAGGTTCAAGCATGGATCTAAATAATGGTTGGGGTCAGGATGAGGGCATGGAGTTAAGAAGGGATTTCAGGAGAGGCTGGGTTAGTGGCAGGGTGAGAGTAAAGGTCAGTATTGGGCATGAGGGGGTAGGGCCGGATGGGGGCACTGGTGCTGATGTTTAGGTGGGCACATGGATGAGGGTTGAGGCTTAGCCTCAGTCTGGGCTGAGGGTGGGGTGCAGGGGCTAAAAGTGGAATGGGGTGCAAGGCAGGGTTAGGGCCAGGGCCGGTACCTGAGCCACCACATGTAGCTGTGCTCGTAGGGGAAGAAGCTGTGCGGGTCGTCGCAGCAGTACTTGTGGTCGCGGAAGCCGCAGCAGAAGACGGCGGCCGCCTCGCCCCCCGGCCGCGGGCAGCTGAAGCCGCGCACCTCCTCCTGCTCGGCGCTCACGTAGCTCGTGCAGGCGCCGCTCATCGCCCCGGCCCGGCCCGGGCTACCTGGGCCCCGGACGGCTGGCTGGAGGAGGGCCGGGGAGCGCGCGGCACCGCGCCCGAGAAAAGCAGAGGCAGAGAAGTGGAGGGCGGAGGGCAGCGACACGCAGAGAGACAGAGGAGGACTCGGCGCGAGGCGCAGCGGTGAACACCTAGACCCCCGAGGGCTGAGTGGCGCCCAGGTACGCGGGACCGCGGCGGGCGGGAGGCCGGGAGGCAGAGGAGCGCGGGGAGGAGGGCGGAGGCGCGGCGGGAGTGGAGAGCGGCGGGAAATGGGCGGGAGCCGAGCAGCGGGCCGCCGGGGGAGCTGCCCTGGGAGCCGCGTGCACGCCCGTCCTGCCCGCGCTCCCCCGCCGGCCCGCTGCCTCCCAGCTTCTGCACGAGGGCGCTGCGTGCTCAGGGAGGACAGGCAAGGCCCGGGTGCGGGCGGGAATTCGAGGCCCTCTCTTGCCCCGAGCACACTCCTGGTGGGAGGCACGTGCTGGGCGCTTGGAATCTCTGGGCAGATTCCGGTTCCAGACAAGCGACCAGCCAGACACCACACGGTGGGGTCAATACAGGGATGATTAACACACGACTTCACTTAATCTTCACTATAACCCAGAAGGCCAGGGATTTTGAAACCCATTTTATAGATGAGAGCTGAGGACCAGAGAGAAGTCATTTCCGGGAGCCCCTAGGCCCATGGGATTTTAAACCGGGTCTGTCTAGTTGGAAGCCTTGCTTCACAGCATCTCTTTTCCAGTGAACTTTTAAATGTCATTTTCTGGCTACTTGTTGTCTCTTCCTTTCCCTGAGAACTACCTCCTGCACTGATAAAGTTCACACACCCCCAGTTCACACTCTGGGCCACTGGCCTAGGACAAGGGGGAGAGTGTGGAAGTGAATTGTCCCAGATGGTAGCTTCCTTCCTACCTACAAGCAAAGCCAGAAGACCTGTCCATTTTGAAAAATTATTTCCAGATCATAAGGGTTGTGTTGTCACTTGGATCAGAGAACCACAGAATGAAGGAGCTCTCAGAGCCTTGGTTTCCCCAGTGTACTCTCAGAGGACAGACAGGTGATCTCTCAGGGCTTCATACAGCTTCTTCAGGGCCTTAGCTGTCAGTGGGTAGAGTAGGAAGGGGCCAGTGTGATGCATTGGGTGCCCCCCACCCCTTGCTTCAGGTATGTGGGGAATGGATCCTGGGTATCAGGGGGTCTGGGCTCAAGCTCAGCTCTGCTCCTTTCCTGCTTTTTCTCTCTGTGCTTCTGGTTCCTCGTCCCTTCCAGGCCAGCCCCTCAGATGCTGGTATATGCCACATGCCCCACCCAGGGACCGGGGCCCCTTAGAGGGGTCAGATCTGGGTCTGCCCTTGAGAAACACACAGTATGATGGAGGAATCAGACTGACACAGTCACAGGACAGGGCAGTAAAAGGGAAATGCAGGAACCGTGGACACAGAGAGGTACCATCTGAGGGAGCAGGGAAGGGTTTTGAGGGGGTAGCATCCTCAAGGATCACTGTAAGGTCAAATATGAAAACTGGAGGGAAGTGTTATATTTATGGCCTAGAAAATTCCTCCCCTGAGCTGTGGAGCTCTGCAAACAGGGAGCTGGAGGGCCTACTTTAATGAAGATGCACTTTGGCTCTATTTATCAGATGGAAGGGGAAGAGGGAGGAATCCTCTGGGAAGGAGAGAGGCTCCTGGAGTCCTGGAGACCAGCTGGGAGGAAGGAAGCTCTCTGTCCTGGCTTTTGGCAAAACTGGGAAGCCTCTGACAATTTCTAAAACCCTTTCCCAACCAACAATTAGTTCTTCCCAACAACCCTGTGGGGTGAACCAAGCAGGGATGATTATGCCCCTGAGAGAAATAACAAGCCCAGTGTCACACAGCGATCCATGGCCCAGGCAGGACTGCTACCCATGTCTGTCTAGCCTTAGGCAGTCTGATGATCCCTATTCAGAATAATGTTTTTAACTGCAAGCAGCAGAACTGCGATGTGAATCTTGTTCTGTAATATTCTAGACCAGGGTTTCTCAACCTATTGACATTTTGAGCCAGATAATTCTTTGTTGTGAGGGGAAGTCCTGTGCACTATAGGCTGTTTAGCGGTATCTCTGGCCTCTACCTACTAGTTGCCAATAGTATCCATCCCCCAGTTGTGACATCCCAACTATTCCCACATGCAAAGTGTCTTCTCAGACATTATTTTGCCTGATTGTCCTAGGTAAGAGATCACGTAGATGGAAGTGTCTAGCACAGTGCCTGGTACATACAAGATAAAATCTTGTTTTCCTTTCATCGGCTAGATGAAGCAATGGAGGTCCAGCAAGGTTGTGACTGTCCCGAGGCTACACAACTAGTAAGGGGGTATTGTCATTTGTTATATTAATTTGCCTATTAATTATCATTCTCAGGTCTTTTACTATATCCTGAGAAGAGTTTCTGCTTTTCCCAGAAGGAATAAGGCAAATCAGAAGAATCTTAGAATCTTTGTTTCCTAGAGTTGAAAGAGTCCTATAGGCTATTTAGTTAAACTCTACTACATGGTTCTCAGCCCTACATTAGGGTTGCCAGATAAAATACAGGATGAACAGTTAAATTTGAATTTCAGATAAACTACACATACTTTTTATTTATTTAGTTTTGTTTTTTGGAGACAGGGTCTCTGTTGCCCAGGATAGAGTGCAGTGCCATCATCATAGCTCACTGCAAACTCACATTCTTGGGCTCAAGTGATCCTCCTGCCGTAGTCTCCCAAGTAGCTGGGACTACATGCACACACTACCGTGCCTGGCTAATTTTTCTATATTTTTTGTAGAGGCTGGGTCTCTTTCTTGCTCAGGCTGTTCTCAAACTCCTGATCTCAATTGATCCTTCCTCCTTGGCCTCCTAGAATGCTACGATTACAGGTGTGAACCACTGTGCCTGGCCTACAAGTGCATTATAAATATAACTATGTGTCATGCAATTGTCATTAATACCAGGTCTCTGGTGGTCCTGGGACTCCCTCTGGAGAATGACAAGCAGGACTCAGTTGGTCATGTGATAACAGGAGAGTATTCATCTACTAACAGGTTAAGAAGAAGGGGCCTTCTGACTGGGCTTTCCCATCCTCATTGAGAGTGGTCATCCCCCATCTTGGGAGGATTTGAGTCTTTCAGGGGAACCTAGGCAGGGGCTCAGACAGTCCCTGGGACATTCAGAAACAGACATGGATGATGACAATAAGGTCAGTTGGCCAACACATGCATTTTGAACACCTACTGTGGGCCACACATTTGCTGTGCTCAAGGAATACAGTGGAGATAAGGGACACAGCACTATCAAGGCAAGGAAGAGAAGTTCCACCTGTGCAATGGAGGAAGGTGTGAAAATGAACATGGCAATCAGTTTAGTGTTGGGGACACACTTACATCCCTACTTCTCAACCCTTACCTGTGGCTTCTACCACTTTGTGTTCAGATAGGGATTTGGCTGCTGTACAAGAACCCAAAGTACACAGTCTCAAAGACTGAGGCAGGAAGCATCAGGAAGAAGGAGAGGGGAGATTTGAAAGATGTTAAGGTGTGGGGCAGAGAAGGCTACTTATACCTGCCCCCTCAACGTCTGTTCTCCCCTTCTTCTCTGTTAATGGAATCTCTAATTTTCAAACCTGGGCGCATGGCCACACAGAATAAAAATCTATTTCCTAGTGATCAGAGTGTAGCCATGTGACTAAGTCCTTCTGATGTGTGGAATGTGATGTGGTGCCCTTAAAGGAATATGGGTGAGGTGTCAGCCATCTTGGACCTCGCAGAGCATGGCAATATCCTAGGGATGGCAGAGCCATAACCCTGGTTTCCTGATGAATTCATAGAGAGCAGTAAACGTCTGACTTTCACAAGGGATAGAAATGAATTTCTACTTTATTTGAGACTGTATTTTTTAACTCTTATTAAAGTGTCAGTTCTCAGCTTTCATGTCATTCCTCAAGGAAGTCTTCTATGAATCCTAGGATAGGTCAATTGCCACTTTTTTTTTCTTGAGACAGGTCTTATTCTGTCACCCAGGCTGGAGTGCAGTGGCATCATCATAGCTCACAGCAACCTCAAACTCCTAGGCTCAAGCAATCCTCCTGCCTCAGCCTCCTGAGTAGCTAGGATTGCAGTTGCATACCACCACACCTACCTAATTTTAAAATTTTTTGTAGAGACAGGACCTTGCTATGTTGCCCAGGCTGGTCCTGAACTCCTGGGCTCAAGTGATCCTCCTGCCTTGGCCTCCAAAAATGCTGGGATTACAGGTGTGAGATACTGTGCCTAGCCAAGTGCCCTTCTATACATGCTCATGGCTCCCTGTACTTCTTCCTAGTGCTTATCATAATTATGAATATATAATAATTGATATAATTTTGTTTAATGTTTGTCTTTCCCACTATTCTCTAAGTGCCATAGCAGCTGGGAACATGCTTGGTTTTTTTTTTTTTTTTTTTTTTTTTTTTGAGAGGTGGAGTCTCGCTCTGTCTGGAATGCAGTGGCGTCATCAGAGCTCACTGCAGCCTCCATGTCCTGGACTCAAGGAATCTCCCGGCGTCAGCCTCCCAAATTGCTGGGATTATAGGCATGAGCCACTATGCCCAGCTCAGAACATGGGCTGTTTTGTTTACTTTTGTATCATTAGAACTGGACATATAAGCAGGGCTCAAGAAATATTTGTTGATGAGTGAATGTCCCTTCCTAGCACAATATTCCAGGAAGTCCCCTCACAGTCACATCCTCCTCCCTCCACCCTCTAGCCTGGCTCAGAGAAGCAAATAAGTAATTAGGTTGAGACTTCCTTTTCTCTCAGGACCTGATGTTACTATTGAAAGAGAATCATCTGGGGGTGAAAGAGAGCCCAGCAAAAGACAGAGGCCTTTATCATATCTGTAGCCAGAAATGACCTCCCCAAACTCCTAACTGGTTGTATCTGGCTTGCTCATTTATTCTAAACTCAGCAGATAGCTAAGGGAGCAGTAATAAGATTTAAGCAGAAAACTAAAATATTGATTCATAATTAAGGTGTAGCAAATAGCTAAACTACTAAGTACTAAGGCATAACCTAATAAATAAGGTATTGGGCTTATAAATAAGATGTTAGAAGATAATTAAAGTGTTAGTATATAATCAAATATTAACTATTCAAATGTTAGCTGATAACCAAAGGATTAATTTAAAACTAAGATGTTAGCAGATACTGGTTAACTGATGACTAAGGTGACAGTTGATAAGGGTTTAAAGAGACGTTTTTTCCTGGAGGACTCTTTGCACTTGTTAGAGGGGACTTAGGAACAACAGGAAGCTGAAAGGTCTATAGGAATGCAGGTCTAATTGGAAGTGTAAAATTCTCAGCTGGACTCTCAGTTTCTGGGGAAATGGTTTGCTCATTTTTGATTTCCAAATAGGGAATCTTCTAGTCAGGAAGAGGCATGGAGCTGAAGCTCAAAATGCTTACCATGCAATTCATGCTGACCTAATCCTAAGGGCCAGGCACCAGGCTGAGGTGGGGGAAGGGAGGGCAGTTGCTTAAATGGTGAAGCTAGAGTGTTATAAGCCAGTGAGCAAGTGAGAGGTGTGTGAAAGATAATGCTTGGTGAGCCAGGTGTGGTGGCTCATGCCTTTATTCCTAGCACTTAGGGAGGCCAAGGCAGGAGGGTTGCTTGAGGCCAGGAGTTTGAGACCAGCCTGGGCAATGGTGAGACTTCATCTCTACCAAAAAGTAAAAATAAAAAATAACTTCGTGTGGTGACGCATGTCTTTACTCTAGCTACTTGGGAGACTGAGGCGGAATTGCTTGAGCCCAGGAGTTCGAGGTTAGATTGAGCTGTGATCACATGATCACACCAGCCTGGGCAGCAGAGTGAGACCCTGCCTCATTAAAAAAAAGAGAGAGAGAGGTGGCTTGAGAGATGCAAAGTCTGGGTGGGAGGGAGTGCAGATGAGTTGGGGAAACATGACGATGAGTTTAGTTCTGCACATGTTGAATTGAGGTGTCTGTAGAGGTGCCCAGTAGGCAGATGGATATGAGTCCAGCGTAGATGCAAGGCCGAGATTTGGGTGTCATCAGTGTACAGGTGGTGCTCAAAACCATGAGAACAAATGAGGTGGCTGTGGAAGTACTTAGGGTGAGAAAAAGGACCAGACTGGAACCCCAAGGAAGACCCGTTGGGAAGGAGCCGGTGGAGAAGGAAGGGGCACTCAGAGAGATGGAGGGAAACCAAGGGAAGAGAGGGGCAGGAGAGGGAAAAGAATGCGTCAGAAGGCCGGGCGCAGTGGCTCACGCCTGTAATCCTAGCTCTCTGGGAGGCCGAGGCGGGCGGATTGCTCAAGGTCAGGAGTTCGAAACCAGCCTGAGCAAGAGCGAGACCCCGTCTCTACTATAAATAGAAAGTAATTAATTGGCCAACTAATATATATATACAAAAAATTAGCCGGGCATGGTGGCGAATGCCTGTAGTCCCAGCTACTTGGGAGGCTGAGGCAGGAGGATTGCTTGAGCCAGGAGTTTGAGGTTGCTGTGAGCTAGGCTGACGCCACGGCACTCACTCTAGCCTGGGCAATAAAGTAAGACTCTGTCTCAAAAAAAAAAAAAAGAATGCGTCAGGGAGAAGAGCACAGCAGCAACGGCAGATGTGTCTGAGCGGTCACGTAGGATAAGGTCAGAGAGATGTTCACTGGATTTCACAGTCAGGAGCCCAGCAATGGCTTCTGTGAGTGCAGTGAGGTAAGGCGCAAATATGGGTGGTAGAGGGGGTGGGTATAGAGCGGGGAGGTAGCTGTGGGAGAATGTGGTTCTGAGATGTCCATCACGAACATTTCTGACGTCTGGGTTTCATCGTGGGTAGGTACATGTGTGCACACAAGCATATGCAGAGTGGGAGCTTAGCGTAGAGTGCGTAGGGGCAGGCTGGGGGCCACCACGGGGGCCTTGTGGTCAGCTCACAGACAGTCCTCACTGGGGAGCTTGTGAGAAGGACATTACGGGAGACTTTGAGGACTCCATACACAGTTCAACCCTTTCGATGTCCAATGGGAAAATGGAGGACAGCAGAGAGGGAACAATTTGCTCAGTCTGTGAATCAGGGACACAGTCTGGACTTGAATCTGACTCTTCAGACTTCTAGAAGAGTGGCCTTGGTGACGTAAACATAAAGTTCTTATTGGCCAATGGTTTACTGAGCACAGTGACTTTGCCCATCACTCCGGTTTCCAGCTGCTGCTTTTTATACTTATGTAAAAGTGAAGTAGGTATTTTGCATACAAAATTCAAACATTACAGAGATACTTAATAAAAACGACTCCTGTTTTCTCACTCTACCACCTCAAAGACGACTACCATTGACACTTTGGTTTATATATACACTTAACATTGTAAATTTTTAATAAAAACAGTATACTTGTTAGGCTGGGTGCTGTGGCTCACGCCTATAATCTCACTGCTTTAGGAGGCCGAGGTGGGAGGATCACTTGAGGCCAGGAGTTCAAGACCAGCCTGGCAACATAGTGAGACCCCATCTCTAAAAAAAATGTAAAAATTAGCTGGGCAGGGTAGCGTGCAACTGTAGTCCCAGCTACTCAAGAGGCTGAGGCAGGAGGTTTACTTGAGCCCCAGAGTTTGAGGCTGCCATGAACTATTATGCCACTGCACTCTAGCCTGACAAGAGACAAGATCCAGAGTGAGATCTTGTCTCTAAGAAATAAAATAAAATAAAAATTATGCTTGTTCATATTTTGGGTATGTGTGTGTTTTTATGTTCATTTGGTTTTATACCTTACCCTTTTTTCACTTTTGGACAACTCTGTGGTGGCATATAGAGATCTAATTTATTTTAATAACTATATTAGCTTGTCATTTGGATTTATACCATAATTATTATCAGACCGATGTCGATGGGTATATGGGTTGCAACCAAATTTTCACTGTTCTGAACAGCATACATACATATTATTGTACATATATTTGTATATTTTGGGGGACTTCTAGAAAGTGAAATAATGGGTCAAAGTGTAGGAACATTTAGTTTTAAAAGATATTGCCAAATCACCCTCCAAAAACTTATGCCAGTTTATTGTCCCACCAATGGTTTATGTGAATGCCCATTTCCCCACATCCTTACCAACAATTGGTATTATCATTTTAAAAATCTGTCTACCTTGAATGAGGCTGAACATCTTTTCATATCCTATATTCTTCTGTGAATTAAATATTCATATCCTTTGCCTATTTGTTATTGTAGTATACTTTTGGTCAGCGAATTCTTATTGAGCAATTATTGAGCTTGATTTAAAATAGGCCTGGAAGCCTTTATACTGAGTTACTAACAGCGAGTGAAATTATAGGAAATAAAGAGGATACTTTCATGTTTTATTTTATATTGTGCTGTGTTGTTTGGATTTTCACAATGAACTTGCAATTGTTTTATAATTAAAAAAATAATACAGAGGAAACAACAAGAAGTACTAAATGTTTCCTCTGGAATCCCACTGGCTAGAAATTCATGTTGGATGAGAGTTTTTATTGAATGCAAGTTATTTTTTCATTTATATGCAAAAAATGTTTATTGAATGTCTCCTAGTTAGCTAGCACTGCCCTAGGCACTTTCACAGATATTTCATCCCAAGCCTCACAACAGCCCTGTGAGGTAGGAATTGGTCCCATTTTACAGAAGTCTTAATGGGGTGGGATATTATTGCTTGATACTTCTATTTGCCACATGTTTTCACTGGCTAGAGGTTCTTATTGGCTGGTGATTCACTGGGCTAGAGTTCTCATTGCCCAAAAGTTCCTATTTGTTGCTCTAAGATTCAAATAGTCAAAATATTAGAATTTTTTCCCCACAGGAGTGACGGGACAGGTAGAGTAAGAGTGGAGGAAGGAGAGCCAGCGGATCTCTCCCTTTGAAGCACCATCTGAGTTTGCCTTGGTGGGGATAGGTGGATGGGCTGGGGTGGTGGAAGAGTAGAAAATAGTGGTTATAAGTCTTCTCGCTTCTGCAGGATGAGCTTCCTCACAAGCGCTGTGATCTGGGGTCTGATCTCCTCCACTGACACAGTTGGGTCCCAAGCTCCTACCACCTTTCCATCTGGGGCCACTAGATACTTCCAGAAGTTCCAGGTGGGCTCCTTCCCAGAAGTCTCTAGAGAAGAAGGAAGAATGAGAACAAAGTGTGCTTCCCTGTGCACCCTCTCCTGGAATTCCATTATTGGTGTCCACCTTTCCCTTGAGGCAGTATAATCCTAATGTCCAGTCCACATCCTAGACCACTTAAATCAGAATCTCTGAGGTTAAGACTCATGCATCAGTATTTTTCAAAAGCTCTCCAGGAGATTCTGATATGGGGCCAATGTTGAGAATGACTGTTTTAGGATTCTGTGAAGTGCTTGAGAAAGCAGTATCAAATCCTCCTTTATTTATAACCTCAAACAATGGAATAGTCTGCACCCTATTCTCTGATTAAATCTTAATGGTTTCCAAATGTTAGTCCATGGACTGGTTGCATCAGAATCATTGTGGGGGCAGGAGGGCTTCTTCAGTAGGTCTCAGGCTTATGCATTTTTTAGAGCTCCCCAAGTTGCTTCTAAAGCAAGGCCAGGTTTGATCTCTAACTATGGGAACTGAGGAGGAACTAACAAAAGCACACAGGAAAAAAGCAAACATTGGGATTAACCCACAGAGCAAAACACAAATGTGCCTCCACGAGGGACCTTTTGTTTGCTATACTCTTATTTCTCATTTACCCTTCCAGGTGAATGGGTTGTGGGGTGGTGCTGGTGGCGGTGAGGGACACAAAAGCAACCAGAAGCATGAGGTGAGAAAAGGCAAAAATGAAGCCCCCAAAGGAGGAGGAAGGCCAGAGGGAGGAAACAGGACCCTAATGACAAGCATAGACCATTTTGTGGCTCTGAGGCTTTGGGGGCTAGAGAAGGGATCTTGTTCTTAAATATTCAGATCTGGTATTTTAACTCAGAAGGTTTCCTATGGCCTGTAGACTTTGCCTCTGACTCAGGGCAAGAGATGCCTGTCAGTCACTTTGGTCAGCCTTCTCCAGGCACGTGGAGTCCCCTGTCTGTGCCATGATTACTCCATTGTAAGTCCATAAACTCAATTAATTCACACTGACTAAAAGGTGGGTGCCCAGTCTCCTTCTAGGAGCCCCTGCATGTGGAAACAGGATCCCAGAAAAGTCCGCAAGAGTGACTCTGAAGGAGAACTTCAAGGCAGCAGGTGTGGAGATATTCTTAGGCAGCAATAACCCTTAGCCAGTACCTGCTCCCACCCTCCTTAGAGATTAGTGCTGGAACGAAACATCAATCCACCTGAGACAGGAACGGGAAAGGGCCTGAGGTTGCCCAGCCAGCCAGTGGCTTCTGCTGCCCAGGGAACCACAACCTCAGCCAGTTGAGGGAAGGTGAGGGGATAAAGGGATCAAAACTCACCTGTCAGGTACTTGAAGGCAGGGTGGGCACCAGTGCCGGTGACGGCGACCTTACTAAACATGGGGAATGAGACACTGTAGGTGCGGCGGGCAAAGCTCTCAATCTCCTTGTTGCTGTCAGGCTCCTGCTGGCCAAACTGGTTGCAGGGAAAGGCAAGCACATTGAAGTGGTGGGGACCCAGGTCCCGCTGTAGCTGCTGCAGGGCTCGGTAGTGCTGGTCTGTGAAGCCACACTGGCTAGCCACGTTCACCACCAGGGACACCTGTGTGGCAAAAACAAAACAAAACAAAACAAAACCCAGACACATACACAACTCAGTGAGGAGGCACACTCATTGAGTGTGCACTTGTACAGGTTCTGACATGCCCACACATGTGACTCCCTCAATAATTAATGTTTTCTAACACATATAAGAACACTCTGTACACATATATAAATATATGTGCAATGCCCTCACATATACATAAACACATGCACACAGGCACATATGAAATCAGACATTACAGGGGCTTACAGATGTGTGCACACATACATGAACATTTGTGAGCATAAGTACACAATACACATAAATGGGCATGCACATCCCCCATGACCTAAGCATATATTAGCAAACATCACATGTGCCCACAAACACACATAGCACATTCACGGAGAGAGGCATACACACGGGTGAGCACACATTGGGAGGTGACGTGGGGAGGTAGAAAGGCAGACATGGGTTCAATTTTTGGCTCAATCACCTAGCACTTATCACTCCACACTCCACATAGCTGCTGATGTATGTGTCAGTCTCCCTTCTAGAACATGAACCTACTGAGGGCAGGAGCTATGTCCACTTCATCTCTGGGCCTGGCCTGGCCGATGGAAGAATCTCAGTGTCAGCTGAATGAGTAAGTGTGCACACATACACAATATCACAGACACTTGCATGGGTACATAGACACAGGTTTTCTGGATAAAAAGATCCCCAGGACCCAGGGCAACCCCTTTTTGTCTCCTTCCTCTCCAGCAAACAAATACCACATTTTTTTTTTTTTTTTTTGAGACAGAGTCTCCCTCTGTTGCCCAGGCTAGAGTGCTGTGGTGTCAGCATAGCTCACAGCAACCTCAAACTCCTGGGCTCAAGTGATCCTCCTGCCTCTGCCTCCTGAGTAGCTGGGACTACAGGTGTGTGGCACCATGCCTGGCTAATTTTTACTATTTTAGTAGAGATGAGGTCTCGCTCTTGCTCAGGCTGGTCTTGACCTCAAGTAATCCTCCTGCCTTGGCCTTCCAGAGTGCTAGGATCACAGGTGTGAGCTACCTTGCTTGGCCGAAATACCGCTTTTTTGATCCCTAGACTAATCCCTAGATTTATTAAAGCCTTTAGGCAATAAATATCAAGCTGGCTGATGGAACTTGATTATAACACTGCAATTAGAATTCTGGCACTGCTGCTATGTTTTTAACTTCTAGCTATACATTATTAAAGGATTTTTAAATACTATCATGTGTCTGGGCAGCCTAGCCCATATCTTCCTGTGTTTGAAAAGAGCTGGGATTATACCGGCTAGCCCCATAAAGAAGGCCACCTCCCAGAGGCTGCCTGGAACCTTGGACAGGCAAAAGCACAGATTGCTCAGGCTAGATAGGGCTTCTCAGCCTCAGCACTATTGACATTTGAGGCCAGATAATTCTTTGTTTTGTGGGGAGCTGTCCTGTTCATTCACTGTGGGATGTTTGGCAGCATATCTGGCCTCTACTCAGTAGATGCCTAGTCTTGACAATCAAAAATGTCTCCAGAAATTGCCAAATATTCCCTGGAGGCAAAAATCACTCCCAGTTGAGAACCACTGGTCTAGATGATTGAACCAGTGAACCGTAATTCCTGTACCCTACCCCCACCAGATGAGGAAGGACCCAGGCCCAGGGACTATTAGAACAACTTCCCTAATTTGAGGTCAGCACATACCATAATCTGCCTGCGGTGGTGAGAAACTGGGACTCCTAACTCCCTTCCCCATTTAGGGATCTTCTTGTGTCTTCCCTGCTGGATCCCTGGACAATGCCAGCATTAAAGCTTGCGTATGTTCAACCTACATCTTGTGTGTCTGCCCACTCTTTCAGACGGGGGAAAAATCATGCTTCTAGTTCCATCCCTGAAACCAAAATGCTTAGTCCTTAGCCACCAAAACATAGACAGACACACCCAAACACACACAGTTAATTTACATACATACATACATGCATACAAGCACAGACACAAACTCAAATGTGTACATAGAAGCAAGCAAACCAACCATTCACACACACACACTACACTCAGGCCTACCAGTACATGACCTCACATGGTAGGCAAGCACATTCCCAAGTGATCACCAATTCATCCATACTTCACACTGGTTTAAATGACTGTTGTCTCAGTTAGCCTAAGGCCATAAGCTGTGCCAGTCTTGCTCATGGATATGTCACCAGGGCTCGACCCAGTGCAGGCATGTAGTAGGAGCCAGTAAATGTTTGCAGGTGAATGAATGAGAATATTGCCCAAGCAGTAAGCCTAGCTTGGGTTAACTGACAGCACCATTTACAGCTTCCCTGGACTGACTGTTCCCTGGTTTCCCTCTAAACTTGGCAAGTAAAGTCATGGAGCTGGACTGCCTGGGTTCAAATTCTAACTCTATTTCTTAGCAGCTATGTAACCTTGTTCTATTTTTGACTTAGCACTTATTACTACTAGGAATGATCTTGTTCATTTCTCAGTTCCTTGCTTATTATCTCTCCCCTCCTACCCCATATAAGCTCTATTAAAGTGGAAACTTATCTATTTGGTTCACCAGTGTATCCCCAGTGCCTGGCCTACTACCTAGTATACAGTAGATGCTCGATAATGAACAACGAATTAATGAATAGCAGGTGCTAGCCCTGGTGAGCTCTCTGGTGAGCTGCACTGGAGAGACAGGAAGGCCTAAATGGGAATGGGCCCTGTTCTTAGTTATTTGTCCTGAGTCCTGGGTGAGGTTCCTGCTGGGATCCACGGAACACAGGTACAGAGCACTCCACAGTTTACCAAGTGTTTCCATGCTGTCATCTCATCTGAAACTCACAACACCCTGAGGGGCAGTCAGGACAGGAATCACTGCCCCTGGGACTCCCAGCATACTTGAGAATTTCAAGGTTTACAGAGTACTTTCTTCACTAAAGATGGCCTTGCTCCCAGGAGAAGAATGTTGATATCCATTTTTGTGTGGTTCAACCAAATCTGGGTGCTAGGCCCACCTTTCCATTAGAGTTCAACTCCCCACCCCACCCTTCCCACACCAGACTCCCCAGGTCCATCCTGAAGAGACAGGCTTGGAGAGTTTTTCATTACACACAGTGTAACATCTAGGTCTCTCAATGTAGCGTTCAAGGCTCCCTTGAACGTGGAGCCTTGGTCCCTCCCTGACCCTTCTAGCCTCATCTTATACCACTCTGAGCCTCGGGCTTGAAGTCCTCCTCCCACCCCTCCACCACTGCTCTTGCTGTTCGGTTCTTAATCTTGCTAAAAATCTACATTTGTTTCAAAGACTAAACCCAGACATACTTCCTCTCTAAGCTTAGATTCCTTCTTGGTAAGGAGGGGGCAATTAGCCTGGATGACTCTTGTATCTCATCTTGAGCTGCCATCTAAGGAGTTTGCCTGCAGAGGACCACGGATGGAGCCGGGTTGGGGTTATCTTCCAGAATCTGTCGCTTTCCAGTGCCATGTGGCCTTGTAAATGCCTTCCCTCTCTGAGCCTTAGTGTCCTCTCCAAAGGGTGATGCACGTAAGGTTCCCACGCGTCTAAAACGGTAACTCCCTCTGCGTTGCACATGCACGTCCACAGTGCTCTCAAATGGACTCAGTATCCGCAACTCCCCTGTTCCAGATGCGGAAACTGGGGATGGGAGAGGCAAAGGCCGCACGGTGCTGCGGTTACTTTTTCCACCCGTGAATGGCAAAGGCTGGGCCGGGGCAGCCAGCCTTCCAGCGAGATCCGGACCTCGCCGCCCAGAGGTGCCGGGGCGCAGTCGGCGTAGACTGCGAGAGTGTCGGGTTTCACCGCGCCGCGGCAGTGCCACGTAGTCGCGGGGCAGACGGGGCGCAGGATCTGCGGGCGCCGCGCCGGGGGTGGGTGGGGGTGTTATGCCGGGTGGGGGTGGGGAGCCAGGGCCAGGCTGCCGCGGCCGGAGCCCCTCGGAGCCACACCCGGCAGGGGCCCCGGCTGCCGGGCGCCGCCCTCGGTCCTGCGGGCGACCCCGAGGCCCGCGGCGGACGCTCACTCACCGAGCCGCGGTACTTCTCCAGCGACACCAGTTTGCCCCGGATGTTGACCGCCTTGAAGGCGTAGAAGTCCTGCTCCCGCTGCTCGCAGGCTGCGGCCCACAGCAGCAGCCACGCCGCCGCCACCGCCGCCACCATGACTCGCTTCCGAGGTGGCGATATTGCGAGGGCAGGGACGAGGCGGGGGACCGGCGTGGGGGGCGGGAGAGGGCGGCCCCGGCGCTGCACGGCCCGCGAGGCAGGACGCGCCCCCTTCTCGGTCTCCTCTGCCGGCGGCGGAATAGCTAGCTCTGGACCTCAGTTTCCCCATATGTACTGCAGAAGCGCTGGACGCTCCCCTCGTGCACCGGACCCCAGAGCCATGGATTGTGACCATTGAGACCAGAATTTATTTCAGCGAGACTCCCTCTTGTTCCAGGATGCAGCGACTTGTAGGGAGAGAGAGGCAAAAATCTGGGTCTGAGAACTCAGCTTCTAAGTAGTGCAGTGGCCTTAGCCTCAGGCCAGTCACTCCACTACTCTGGGCCTCAGTTTCTCCACCTGTTTGGTGCGGCTAGCCTCCCTTCCTGATCCACCTGGTCAGTAAGGAATGGGAGTAATAGAAAAATGGATGTGAAACACTTTGACGATTGAATGGTGCCTACAAAATTTAGGTGAATGAATGAATGGCCCCCAAAAGTGAGGGCTTGGAAAAGCAGAAAAGACCAAGGGCTTGTTGCAGGTTGGGTTCCTGGGAAGCAGCTTTTGAGATGGAGATTGGAATGCAGCATATTTTATGAGGGAGCACCCTTGGGATTGAGAACAGGGGAACAGGAGTGGTATAGGGAGGAGAGAGCTCCGTGCAGGCCCAAGGACAGTCTTGGCTGACCAGAGAGGGACTCTGGCGCAAGAGTGGCCTGTCAGATGAGCTAAGATGGCCAGACCTTTATACTGTGCCTTAATCAGTCCTTTGATGGGGCTATCTGGGAAGGGCTGCTACAAGGGCCAAGACGGCTTTGTCCCTGGAGGGGCTGACAGTTAAAGGCTTTGTGCTGACAGCACTCCCAGCAGCTGAGGTTCCAAGTCTTCCCCAATGGATAGCACATCACAATGGCTCCCACGCTTTTAAAAAACCCTACTGAACTAGGCAGGGTGGCTCACACCTGTAATCCTAGCACTCTGGGAGGCTGAGGCGTGAGGATCGTTTGAGCTCAGGAGTTTGAGACCAGCCTGAGCAAGAGTGAGACTGTCTCTACTAAAAAAAAATAGAAATTAGCTGGACAACTAAAAATATGTATAGAAAAAATTAGCCAGGCATGGTGGCTTGTGCCTGTAGTCCCAGCTACTGGGGAGGCTGAGGCAGGAGGATCGCTTGAGCCCAGGAGTTTGAGGTTGCTGTGAGCTAGGCTGATGCCATGGCACTGTAGCCTGGGCAACATAGTGAGACTTTATCACACACACACACACACACACACACACACACAATGACCAAAAAACCCTACTGAGTCCATGAAATGCCAAATATGGGGCTGATTGCTGACCCTGTACTAGTCCTCCAAAAACTTACAGGCTGGTGTGAGGGAAGCCAGGTAAACTGCAGAATTCATGTAATGTGGTAAGGGCTAATGTGCTCCTGCAGTCATTCAGCAAACACTTCTTGAGCACCTGTTCTATGCCTGATTCTGCTTTAGGTGCCCCTTATGCAGTGATGAATAAGACTGTTGCGGCAGTGTGTACAGCTAGTGTTACAGCCCTTATTCGTTTGACCGGGGAAAGAACCGAGCAGCACACGAAGAGTCAGAGAACAGCCTTTATTCTTCCACAGCAGACTTTAGCGCGCCTAGTGTTACAGCTCTCTTCGTGTCTCCTGATGTTCCCTCTATGTTCTCCAGGGCTCTCTCCCTTCCTGCCCTTCTGCCCCTGCTTTTATACCCTTGGTAGGGCTCAAGAAGCGTCCAATCAACTACAAGCTTTAACATCCAATCGAAAACAGTGGGATTCAAGAATTACCCAATCAGGATCACGCAAGCAGCATGGCCAGAAACAGGCCGGTGCACGAGGGCCTGGGGCATTCCGGCATGCGGGAGTTCCTGCGGTGGGGGGTCCCACCCCAGCGGCATGCCTCTAACTGGCCACGCACAGCACTGGCCCCCGGAGATGGGGAACTATGGGGAGGCGGGAATCGGCCACCCAGCACTCGACATTTTCCACATCAAGACAGCTCGGTCCCTGTCAAGGGAGAGACAGGCATTAAATAATTCATATAGCTCTAAAATTACTATTGTAGTAGTGCCACCTAAACTAGCCTAGGGGATGGAGGAGGGCTTCCCAGAAGAGAGATTTGAGCTGAGCTATGAAGAATGAGAAGAAATCAGCAGGTTGAAGCAGGGAAGCAAGTGTAAATGTTCTGAGGGAGAGATTAACATGGTGCATTGAGAAACAAAGAAGGCTGGAACAGAGAGAACAAAGGATGAGAGGGGATGGTAGAGAGGCTGGCAGAAATGAGGTCATACAGAGTCTGTAGCCACAGTAAAGATTATGGTCTTTAAACCAAGACATGAAGGTTCATTTTCTTTCCTTTTAAAAGCAGGGAAGTATCACAGTGAGTCTTGGTTGTAGACGAATCCTTCTGGCTGTTCTGTGGAGAGTGGATAGGAAAGGGCAAGAGCAGATGTGGTCCAGGCCGGGCATGGTGGCTCATGCCTGTAATCCTAGCACTCTGGTAGGCCGAGGCGGGCGGATTGCTCGAGCTCAGGAGTTCAAAACAAGCCTGAGCAAGAGCAAGACCCCGTCTCTACTATAAGTAGAAAGAAATTAATTGGCCAACTAATATGTATAGAAAAATTAGCCGGGCATGGTGGCACATGCCTGTAGTCCCAGCTACTTGGGAGGCTGAGGCAGGAGGATGGCTTGAGCCCAGGAGTTTGAGGTTGCTGTGAGCTTGGCTGACGCCACGGCACTCACTCTAGCCTGGGCAACAAGTGAGACTCTGTCTCAAAAAAAAAAAAAAAAAAAAAGCAGATGTGGTCCTGATTTTGGGGGAGAGGAAGCTCCAGGACAGTTGCTACTTAGCCTGAGCACTCAGAGCAGGCCTCTTCGAGCTGGTGACACCAGAGTCATGTCCTGAAAGAGAAATGGGAATTCTCCATGTTGGGGAGGAGGAAAGCAAAGCTGTCAGACTGAGAGAGTGGTGTCTGTGAAGGCACAGAGTCTGAGAAAAGTGCTTGGTTGTGTGAGGTGAGAAAGGGTGCAGGGCAGATGAGATCACCAGGGGCTGAATGGAGAAGGGTCTTGAGTGCTCCGTCACTCTGTAGGCTATAGCAAGCACAGACTTGGAAGCTGGGCACAAGATCACACAGTTAATAAGACTTGAACCCAGGCCTTCAGGTTTCATACAATGGGATCTATCTGCACCACCAAGGTGGCCTTTCTCTTCAGAAGACATTATCAGGGAAGGCAGAGAACAGGGGAAGGGTGCTCCAGGCAAGGACCGCGGCATAAATGAAGTGTCCCTGCTCTTTTTACTCCTTCTTCCCCTTCTCTTGTGGGAGTCTTAAGCCTCCGAGGGGTCCCATACTATTAAATGGTCCCCTTTTACCGGCTCTCCAGGAACTGCTGGTCTCCCTTCCTGCCATCTATTCCTTTAAACTCAGCTTTTCCTCAAGTGTTCCAATGACCAGGAGTTCTGAAATTCTACTTCACACAACTCAGAGTTTTGGAGTGTTGGCCAAGCTATTTGCTGTTAAGATCCAGAGAGGTGAGCATTTTTACTAAGCAGGGGGAAAATGTTAATAGTGAAATATTTTTGAATTACAAATTTCTTTCCTGAGCCCTTTTTTCTTCTATTCGTGCTTCAAAACCCAGCTCAAATATCTTCCCCCTCTGCTACTAACTTAATCACTCCCTCCTCTCTGCTGCCTTTGTATCTACTACATTTTTTGGTTAGTGGGCTGATAGTAATATTGTGTAGTTCTCAGTTTCCATGGCTGTCTCCCTGACCAAGACTGTGAGCATCTCCAGGGCAGGCAGGTTTGTGTCCGAATCATCGTTATGTCTTCCTGGCATATACCAGACACTCAGTAAATATTCATTCCTTAAACTTTCTGGTGACTTCTATTATTTCTCTATCCTGGAATCTGATATGAAATGCTGTTGATTTTAGCCACCAGTGTGTATTTTGTCATTTTATTTTCAGTCCCCTGTGAATTTTTGGTGTTTCAGAAGGAGCACAGTTATTTCCAGGTAGCCCATCTACACAAACAGGAGACCCACAGGCACGGACAAATGGACACAGTTCTCAGCAGAGTACCTGGATGTGTTGGAGACTCACCCCTGGATCTCCACTACTCCTCTTTCCTACAATAAGCTCAAAGAAGCTCTTTATGGGTATTTAAAATGCTCATTAATATTTTGTTTATTCGTTATATTTGTGAGTACCTACCATGTACAATAAATAAAATAAAATGAATTTTAATGACTATTAATATAGTAATGAACAAGACAGAGAAAAAAGGTACAAAAATTCTTGGACTTTCAATTCTAGTGGGGGGGAGCAAGGATAAAAACTTATAATACAAAATGTATGCTACTTTATTTATATGGTGATAAACAGGGGAGAGATGTAGAGAGTGTGGTGGTAGGGTGGGGAGGGATTGCAATTTTAATTCAAATGATCAGGAAGGCTCACTGAGAAATTGGTATTTGAGCAAAGACCTAAAGAAAGTCAGAAAGCAAACAATCAGGAAAAGTAGAGGAGTTCCAGGTACAGGGAACAGCAAGTACAAAGGCCCTGAGGCAGGAACATGCAGAATGTGTTTAATGAATAGCAAAGAGGTTAGTGTGGCTGGAGTGGAGTGAGAGGAAGAGTAGCAGGAGATGACCTCAGAGAGGTAAGGGATGGGTGGGCAGATACCATAGGGCAGGGGTCCTCAAAATTTTTAAATGGGGCCAGTTCACTGTCCCTTTGACCGTTGGAGCGCCAGTGGAGAGTGCAGCGAATATTCCACACATGCGCACGGGATGTGGGCCTGGGAGGAGTTGGCTGCTAAGCAGGAGAGGCAGCGCCACTGGCAAAACACCCAGGCCAGATAAATATCCTCAGCGGGTAACATGTGGTCCACGGGCCATAGTTTGAGGACCCCTGCCGTAGGGTCTCATTAAGCCACTGTAAAGGCTTTGGCTTTGACTGTGATTGAGATGGGAAGCCATTGAATGGTTTTAA